CTATAAATTTAAAAAATGGTTCCTTGAATAAAGCTTTATTTCTGCTTATTATTCCACTGCAAAACAAAATAATAATAATGAAGAATATAGTAGTCCCAATCATTATTACTTTCAATACATATAAGAATCTTATAAAAGATAAAGATGCTGCTTGTAGCCAAGTGGGTGAAAGTAAAATATATATATTTATGATTACGTGTAACAGCAACAAGATAGAAGGATTCACCTCCATATTATGTAATTACCAGTTTCTTAAAGAAAAGGTGTGTCCTATTTAAAATGTGCCCACACTCCAAAGGAATTAGCCACTGTTAACAAATAAGCCTAAAAGGTATAAAGGATATTAAAATGAGGTACACTAAGGACCAAAGCAGAAACGTATTAATCAAAACCTACTTTGGAAGACAAATGGGAAACAATAGATAAATCCATTTACAATACAGCTTTAGTAGCAAGTTAGAGAAATGTGTAAATTTTTCAAATAATGTTCCATATTATGAACTCACAATATTTTAAAACTTGTAATTTGACTAAATATAAAATAGTTCATATTTCTGCTACAGCAGAAACTCAAAAATATTTATTAAGGAGAAAATTAACTTTAAAATGATCATTTCACAATTGGTAAATTTGAGTAAAAGTATTGTTTAAGGTAGTTCCTTATACTATTCTTACAACTTTTCTGTAAATTTAAATTGTATCAAAATAAGTTTTTTAAAAGCTATTAAATTAAAAAAATATTTTTTTTTACATCTCATAACTAAAATTACAACAAGATGATTACTCTACAATTAAAGGCTGGCTCATGCTACACAATACCTTTCCTCTATCCACAATCACCAATTAAATTACTGCATCACATACTCTTAGTTAAGCATTTTCTACAGGACAGTAAGTCTTTAAGAAAATATGTATTGGCATTTATTCAATTAAAGTTGGAAATCTCTAGTTTAGAAGAATAAATAATATACTTTTGGATTACAAAAACATGAAGTCAAAATCTGAATAAAAGGGAAAATCTTTTAAAAAATAAACAAATCTCCTGTATCATACCATGACTGTGCAGGGTTTTAATATGTAATATATGACAAATTCTATACAGATATTTAATACCAGAGGCCCTGGTGCACAAAATTTATGTGGGGGGGGGCGGTGGGGAGGACAGGGGTGCCCACAGCCCAGCCTGCACCCTCTCTCAATCTAGGGCTCCTCAGGTAGGGTCCCTAGGCCTGGCCAGCGATCAGGGCCTATTGGGGCTTTCCTTCCCCTGGCTGCATAGGTGTGATCGCTTAGCTGGCCTGGGCCTCCCTCTGCGGTGCGATCGCTGGCCGGCCCCACACACCTGCCACAGTGTCGCTAGCCGGAGGCCTGGGCCTCCATCTGTGGGGCTATTGATCATGGGGCTCTGTGATCGATCACCCAGCAGGGGGAGGCCCCGTCCACCCAACCAGGGCTCCACGATCCATCGCTGCGCAGAGGGAGGCCCCACCCACTGGCCGGGTAGCCTGGGCCTCCCTCTTTGGGGCGATAGCAGAGGGCTCCCCCCACTGATCGCCCCGCCAGCCGGTGGCCTGGGCCTCCCTCTTTGGGGCAATCGATCGTGGAACCCCCACATTGGTCACCCCACAGAGGGTAGCCTGGGCCTCCCTCTGTGGGGTGATCATAGGGTGATGGCAGGGCTCCCCGACCAATCGCATTGCACTTGCCTTGGATGGCCTGGCGCCAGGGGGTGTCATAGCGTGGTCGTCTGGAAGGTCATCCAAACGGTCGTTCTGCTGTTTGGTCGTTCGGTCGATTTGCATATTACACTTTTATTATTACAGATAATGTTACTCAGAGCGAATGTAACCTATATATTTTTGCCACAGGTAATAGTTGGGGAGTCTATATTTTTATTAACAGATATGGCATCTAAATAATACAGCCATCAAAGAAAAAGCATAAAATTATATAATAATGTAAAAGAACATCACTTTTCTCTACATTAAATACATAAAGGATTCCAATAAAACCGATCCTTCTAAAGCTAATATGCTAGCAACAATGAACATCTGAACTATGTTTATATTGAAATTCTTAGATTTGTTAGAGGCACACAGACACAAAACTGACCAGACTCTGCCCACAGACACCTACAAACATTGGAGACCAGGCACTCAACAAGCTCTCAAATTGGATTCTAACAAGATTTTTAGGCCTTCAGTTTTAAATATGAATATAGAGCCAAGAGTAGCAAACTGCTTGAGGAAAGCCTCTAACAAGATCAGAACAACAGTCAAAGGATTATGAAGGAAACAAACAAAAAACAATGCTATAAAAATGAACATCAATACAAAAAGATAACTCTTAGAAATAAAAATATAATAAAAATCCTCTGGATGATAAAGTTAAAAGGAACTTCCTAGAATAGAGAACAGTATAGAGCCCGACCGGTGTGGCTCAGTGGTTGAGTGTCGAACCATGAACCAGGAGGTCACAGTTCGATTTCCTGGTCAATGCACATGCCTGGATTGCAGGCTAGATCCCCAGTAGGGGTTGTGCAGAAGGCAGCCAATCAATGATTCTCTCCCATCATTGATATTTCTATCTTTCTCTCCCATGCCTGGATCAGGCTAGATCCCCAGTAGGGGTTGTGCAGAAGGCAGCCAATCAATGATTCTCTTATCATTGATGTTTCTCTTTCTCTCTCTCTAACTCTCTCTCCTTCTCTCCTTCCCTCCCTCTCTCTCTACCTCTCCTATCCTCTCTCTGAAATCAATAAAAACATATTTTAACAAAACAAATAGTATAAAAATTATAGCATAATCAGATGATCAATCCAGTACGTACAACACTCAACTAATAAGGATTCCAGAAAAGGCATAGATAAAAATGGAGAGGAAGAATGATGGAAAAGAGCCCACCTCATGCCCAGCACAATGAAGTAAAAAAAAAAAAAAATGAACAAATCATACCAATATTCAGTAAAATTCCCCAACACCAGCAATACATCAGTAACAAATGATCATAAAAATTTCCAAAGGTTAAGAACCAGTAAGTCCTATCCTATATAATAAAGTGGTAATATGCAAATTAACCCTCACGCCCTCACAAGATGGCTGCCTACCACCAGGCCGGCAGGGGAGTTAGTGAGGGACGACCAAACGACTGAACAAGCAGGCAGCGTGAGGCAACCAGGCCAACAGGGGGTCAGTGAGGGACAACCAAATGACTGAACAGCAGGATGCATGGGCGACCAGGCTAGTGGCGCACAGGCAGTGAGGGGCGATTAGGCTGGGGGAGTGGCAGTTAGGGGTGACCAGGGAGATGAGCAATTAGGAGTCAGCAGTAGAGGATTGTGATAGGGATGTCCAACTGCTGGTTTAGACCAGACACCCGGGATCAGGCCTAAAACAGCAGTCAGACATCCCCCAAGGGGTACCAGATTGGAGAGGGTGCAGGCTCAGCTGAGGGGACACCCCCCCTGCCCCGTGCACGAATTCCATGCACCGGGCCTCTAGAAGATAACAGGGGATACTTTCCATATTCTGACAAAAAGTAATTTCCAACTGGGAATGTATAAATACTTCTCAAGAATTATCAGATCTAAAAGGTCTCAAAAATGTATTTCCCTTGTACCTTTTCTCAGAAAAAGACTGAATTTGCCAGAATGAGAACATAAACTGAGGAAGAAGAAAACAAAAGATACAGAAAACAGGTTATTCAATTCCTGCAGCAGAGAAGTATGAAAGAAATTCCCAAGATCATGCATGATAAAAGCAAATTCAAACACGGACTGCTATTTAGTGGGCCTAAAATGCAATCCATCCTGGTTAGAGCAGGAAGACAGGAAACTAACAAGAAGCACAGAGTGGGTAGTAATAGATAAAATCAATAGATTATTTGGTATATGTGACCATATTACAATACTGAGATGATTTTACAGTGTTGTCAATAAGCTTGAGTTCAATTAGTAAGAAATAGGCAAAAACCTAAAGCACACAAAACCTTGCAATTTCTAAACGCCAGGAGAAACAAAAAATTGTATACAAAAGAAACTACTAAAATATATGCCATGTGGCTCAGCTATAAACAATAGGCAAAATCAAGTAAATAAATTCCAATTTAATAAAATATTGTGATATAACAACATTGAGAGGGAAAGGATGAGCATGGGCATGGCTAACAGTGTAAAAAGCTGATTCTCATCTTCCAAAGTAGGAAATAAATACATACTTTAAAACTGAAAAATCTAGAAACAGTAACACAAGTATGTCACATTGAAGTCCAGAGATAAAGAAAAAGAGAGAGAGAGATGAAACAATAAAAAGAACAGAAAATTACTGGCTCCAGGAATGACAGTTATGACTGGAAGAAAGGTGCACAGGATTGATACGTTTGTGACTAACTCCTGCAAGACTATCTGACATTAAGCTATGTTCACATATCATTTTTAAGTTGTTTATATATTACTTTGACTAAAACCTTTTAAAATGCCTGGGACTGACCACAGGTTTCAGAGAGACTTGTGTTGAATATAGCCTACACAATTTACACATATTCAGAGGCATGTGATTATGCAGAAAACCCTTATTCTCTGAGACAGCTGAGTCAGAAAACATGTACATAAAGAAAGCATTCTTCCTCTTCCAACAAATCCTCAAAGTAGCAAATCGAGGATGAGGAGGAATAATCTTTATTTCAAACTTTGGGAGCATTTAAAAAGTGTAAGTACTATCATTCCAAAAGTTATCTTAGATTAAGTATTTAAGACATTTTCTGATAAAATATTACATACCAGTAAACAAAATTCCAAGAAAAATTTTACTGACATTCAATTGGTATTATAAGGAATAAGTTCTTTATCAACACGTTATTTTTGTTTTTAGATCCAAAATTATCAATTGCAGTAATTAATAATATGTAAAATGACTATAATAAAAATTTATAAACACAAACTAAAAAACTGAAAGAAATGTCTAAGAATTGCTTTTCCTTTTAATCAACATTTTCAATGTGATTCCCTAAAATGCTTTGATATTTTCCTCCAAATTATCTCATTAATTTTAGTCATCCAATGTGGTGACTTTTAAAACCCCCAATACTAGTAAAGCATTTACTATTCTGCATTTTAATTTTCCTCTTATTTGTCTCTAACCCTCTATAAATTGTCAGCTCTGCAGGCCTGGATACAGGGAGGGTCTCTCCCATTCACCAGTATATCCCTCTCATAGAATTCCTGGCACATGGGAGACACTCAATAAATATCGAAGTAAATGAACAGAGACATAATTTGATTAAAGTATTTACCTAATGTAGAATATATTTCTTGCTCATTAAGATATTGTTTAAATATGAGACAAGTTAGTATTTCATATATATGGGAGGAAGGTGAATAGAAAAGTACCTTTCAATGAGTGTCCCATTTTGAATCATCCAAACATCACAATATGTTCGAGACACCAGCATAACAGCAATAAGTATCAAGTAACCTGTCTAAAATAAATCATGTACAGTAAATTAAATAAATGCATTTTAAAAAGTTTAAAAAACAAACAAATATTTCTTTGGTAAAGATTTTCTATTTCTAAATTCAAGGCTTTATTCTAGCTTTAATACAGTTGGCTGATATTTTACCTATAGGCAATTTTTTAAAATTTTTTAAATATAAATGGAAAGGCCTTAAAGATCACTTAATCTAACCTTCTTATTCAGAATTCAAAAGTGAATCCCAGGCAGGTTAAGTGACTCGTCTTCATACAATTAGTCAGTGTCAGAAATTAGCATTGTTATTTAAATTACCCGAATCACATGTATTATGATTATCTAGTATTTTTAATATATTATTAATAAAGAAAAATGATAATAACTGTCAATATACAATTAAACTACAAATATGGAAGAGTATACTTTTGCCCAAGTAGAATAAGTTTGGTTCCATTTTTTAGGAAAATCTCTAAGAGTGCCTCTGCCCTCACAGGACTTTCAATTTAGTTATTAAGGCAAAATTTACACTAAAAAAAGGGAAGAAAACAGACCAATGTAGGTATATTTGCATCACTTCATGTGTTAAGTTTAACAGTATAGGAAGGCCTTGGGTAGCAAAAGAGGGTAATGATATTAGAAATACATTAATCATTCCAAGTAAAACAAAAGAAAGAATGAGGATTATGAGTAAAAAAAAAAATGATTTAATGAAAAATAAATGGATTAAAACCATATGAATTACAGTATAGCATATCCAGCAGAGTTTAGACAATATAAAGCTACTGAAAGCTTGTAGGTAGAACAAAATGTTAAAGGTACTGTTTAGAAAACATTACTGAAGCAATGCTGTACAAGAATTATCATCAAGCGGAAAGAGATGAGATATCGAGTGGCTGGCTAGTAATCAATTATCTCTGTGTTAGATGAAAATCTACTCTCCAACCTCCAATACACATTCAAAACTGACCTTAAACCTTCTAAACAGGAAGAATATGACAGTAACACAGAAGCTAAAGTCGTGGAAGCTGGTGTATGGCAGGGAGGACATTTGTTGGATAATGTGCGTAATTTCAAAGTTATGGAATTGAGGGGCAACTGCATCTAATACTTATGTAATTTTTGCAAAACATATTTTTTTTTAAAAGAGTAAGGTACTAAAAATATAGCCCTTTAAGTGAAAGACAAGACAGGGAGTCACACACAGAAGTAGTGAATGAAGCCATAAGAAAGAAGATGGTGTGAAATAAAGTTTGTGATGAGCTATGACAAATGCTACCCCAATGTTTGCTGGAAAGAAACAATACCATCTTTCTACCCTATCTTACCATCTCAAAGTTAGATATTCAATTGACAGTAGAACCTATTGATTTTAATAAATGTTGTCTGTATGCCATTCTAACTGTAATGTTAACTTTTAATTCAGACCTTTCATACAGTCTCAATCCTAAATTAATCACTTCAGTTGTATAAAGGTAACATTAGACAAAGATGGTTTAATTATTTCTTCATTTTATGTTCTTGGCTTAATTTATCCTTAAAGTAAGTATCAAGGTTACTTGTGTCACTTTAGCAAAATCTGGCAAACTAATTATTGACAGCCCTGAAAAGCCTTTATATAAAAGATGTAGTTAAAATCATCACTATTCCCATTATTAATGGGTTTGCAGACTATGACAGAAATTGAAGATTTGCACTAATGTAGGCTTTCTCTCACCTTCTGGTATATATGAATTTCCATATATTCATATGTAGTATTTTCATTTCTCTATTTCATAAATTAGTTTATCCCTACCTCCAATCTTTTTTGATTTCTATAGGAGTTCACTTCACTTTCTTGAACTAAGGTTAAATTTGGATTTTCATATCCTTCAAAAATGGTTCATAAAATAACTCTAGACAAAACTGTCAAGTTAGCCAAGTTAGACTCTTCTACCTCCCTACTAACTCCTAGAGATCTATCTAATGTCTCACATTCATTTTGTAGTCAACAAACCCCTGCTAAGTAATTAAATAAGTATATATTGTTAACTGACAAGGGGGGAAATATATGAATCTTTCCAGAGAAGCTTGTATTTTAAATGTATATTTTATTGATTTTTTTACAGAGAGGAAGGTAGAGGGATAGAGAGTTAGAAACATCGATGAGAGAGAAACATCCATCAGCTGCCTCCTGCACACTCCCTACTGGGGATGTGCCCACAACCCAGGTACATGCCTTTGACTGGAATCGAACCTGGGACCCTTCAGTCCGCAGGTCAATGCTCTATCCATTGAGCCAAACTGGTTAGGGCAAGAAGCTTGTATTTTAAATAAGAACTCTCCAAAGTCAGGTAGGTTGTAGAATAAGAAAATAACTAACTATGCCTGAAGAGTCCTGGGAAACCTTCATAAAGAAGATAATGAGCATTAAGCTATTTTTTTTTAAGTATTTGTTACATTTAAAAAATAACTTAATTTTGTTGGGGTAGGGGTCCGGGATGTCATAGACATGAAGCCATGGCAGCACACAGCCTGACTGAAACATGGCAAAAAATCTTCCTAGCAGATGATATTGAAAGGAAGGTCAAAGTCAGGTTGTGATTTATCCTATAAGAAAATATATATATTCTTTTTTTTTAATATATTTTATTGATTTTTTACAGAGAGGAAGGGAGAGAGATAGAGAGTTAGAAACATCGATGAGAGAGAAACATCGATCAGCTGCCTCCTGCACATCTCCTACTGGGGATGTGCCCGCAACCCAGGCACATGCCCCCGACCGGAATCGAACCTGGGACCCTTCAGTCCGCAGGCCGACGCTCTATCCACTGAGCCAAACCGGTTTCGGCTATATATTCTTTTTATTAGGATTTTAACTAGTTAGGAAAGAAGAAGCAAACAGACCATTTAAGAGATTATAATAATCCAGTAGAAACGGAAAGCAACTAATTTAAGAGAAACTCAAGGATACTTGGAAAAACATTTAAAATACAAGGGAGGAAGCATATTTTAAAAGTTTCCGTGTGATCTCATTTTTATTATGTGCTCACACCAAAATAATAACAGAGGTTCTCTCTGAGTGGGAGGCTAACAGGCACCAAGAAGAAAAAAATATCTATCTGCATTTTCCAATTTTTCTTCAAGGAACACACTATCTCTATCTAATCAGAAATAAACAAATGTTTTTATTTTTTAGAGTTTCTTAAGGGTGGAACTCTGAAGAGTTCCACTTAAGGGCGGAAGGAAGGGGGAAGGAGAGCAAGTCCAGTGTAATGGAGGAATATTTATTCTCCTCGGGAATCACATTGTTTTGGAGCATCTTATTCTTTTCTTGCTATTTACAGATTATAAGACAAATGCTTTTTAAAATTTGAACAATGGGAAACATCGTAAGATAAATTTGGCAGAAAAGATTAAAAGGGGAGATTCTCTGAAATGAGACTAATTAAAGAACACTATGACATCCAGGCTAGAATATTTAGAAGAAAAACTGTCAGATCCCAGTTACTGAAAAGATAAGGTATGAGAAGAAGAGTCAAAGGTGATGATACTGGTGCAGCCACTGTGGAAAACAGTATGGAGTTTCCTCAAAAAATTAAATATGGAACTCCCATTTGACCCAGTGATCCCACTTCTAGGAATATGTCCCAAGAAATCAGAAACACCAATCAGAAAGGATATATGCACTCCTATGTTCATTGCAGCACAATTTACAATAGTGAAGACTTAGAAACAGCCTGAGTGTCTATCAGCAGATGAGTGGATTAAAAACCTATGGTACATCCACACAATGGAATACCACGCTGCTGTAAAAAAGAAGGAACTCTTACCATTTGCGACAGCATGGATAGAACTGGAGAGCATTATGCTAAGCGAAATAAGCCAGAAGTAGCCAGGGAGTGGTCAATGGGGTGAAAAGGAGACATATGTAATACTTCAAACAATAAAGAATTTAAATTTTTTTAAAAAGGTGATATTTTTAGTTGTATAAAAGGAAAATACTGAAGTGATTAAAGATGGAAAACACAGCAATATTTTATTTTTTCATCATTATAAACACTTATCTGTAATATGTTAAACAATAAAAAAAAATTTTAAGGCCAGTAAAAAAAAAAGACACATCAATAAAGATAAGCTTGATAAAAGGGCAAAGAAAGGGATAATAAAACTTTATTCCTACAACCAACTCACTGAAAATATTTGAAATTTCAGATATCATTTTGGTATCTTTTTTAAAAACATGTTTAATAATTTTATTAATCAATGTCACCCCAATAAATTCAATAAATAAATTTAAAAATAAACAAAACATATTTAGTCAAATATGAAGAAGTAAACCTGAAACCTATCCCATATCAATGTGACTTATTAATATCTTAATGAAATAAAATGATTTGTCTTTCTAAATTTAATCTTGTTTTCATTATAATAGAGCACCACAACTTAAGGTACCTGCACTAATGTACTCTAGAATGTTACATAAAACATAATAAAATAATATTTCATAAATAAGAGAAATTTTAAAACTGGCACTGAACAATAAGGATACTTATGTGACAATGATTTAAAGACAAAAATTTAGTAGTCACCCATATAGAAAGCATTTGGCCTTAGTATGACAAAGCTTTGTAATTTATTATTCTAATTTCATGTAACCTTTAAAGTTGAACACTTAATATTATAATTTCACTTTGTTTATATCTGACTTACCTCTTTACAAAATGTTCTAGGGACCATGATTTTCAGAATCCGTGAGAGCCTTGAAAAAAACACTTTGTCCACCATAGCTCGCTCTTTTTTCCCTTCTTTCTATATAAAAAAACAAAACTAAAATTTAATATAGCTATAACAAATCTACAACAAATAAGATTAAAGAACTATGTATTATCTGTCAATATAAACTATCAAGATGCTATTACATTGAGAAAATACAGAATTGTACTGCTCTTCATATTCAAACATGCTTTCAAGAAAATAAGATGTTACCAAAAACAGTAAGCTGCGTTTGTTTTATCTTGAACATGAATTTCCCTAATATCAATTGCATGAAACTTTTAGATTCCTAAATTTATCATTTAGCATTTCTAACATGCAATTTGCCAATTCACTCTCTCTCCCTCATAAATTCAATGACAAAGTTTCTTCACTCATACAGCTCATAGAGCAGGGGAAACATAAAAATTAATAAGTAAATTGTTACAGATAGACTAGGCAGAGTCATGAGAAAATGAAGAATGAATCAGAGGAGATGATGAG